TTTGAATATTTGATACTGTTTGTGTTTGTTTGTTTCTAATTTATATACTTAACTTTTAATTTAAGTATAATTTTTATCGTTTATTTAAAAAATAGTAATAGTCATAAGTTATATTTTCTTTAATTATATATTATTATACAATTATTGATGCATATCTATTATTATATTCAGTTATACTCAATAATAATATTTGTATGAAACAATATGATTTACAATAAGGAGTAGGTCCTGCCTAATTGTCTAATGTCAATGACAGGGCTCGAAACTTAATATACATAAAAAAGTACTGAATGCTCTTATACACTAATAGGTAATACTGCGTTACACTAACGGCATTATTTCGTATCTGCAAATTTGTCAAAAATTGGGTTTTAGTAATATATTATATGTAATCACTTTGCGCTCTTTTTATTTTCATGTGTTTGTTTTTCATTCTTACTATTCATACTTTTCCTCCAATTTAAAAAATAGTGATACAGCGTATCTCATTTATGCACGTGACAACATGTATCTGCACAATTTTACATTGTGTTTTGCAAAGACAAATATGAACGTCTGAAATTAATTATTTAATACAGGTAACTGAGGTAAACTATATTATACGTTTAGTAATTTACTTATGGATTAATTTTATTTGATATTTAAAACAATAGTTTTGATTTTAACAACTTAATTTATGATTTTACTGTGACTTTTAATTTGGTTTCAAATACGTGTTATTGACATAATCGCTGGGATAGATTTTGAGTAGGTACTTACGTGGTATCACAGGTGTAAGTTAAGATATTAAACAAATTATTAAAATTCGTCTGATGTTTAAGTATATTATTATACTAAACCAATTATACTGAATATATTTTTATTATTTTGTAGATAAATATGTCAAAACGTAGACTAAAAACAATTTTAGAGTTATCGTGTGGAACTAATACAAAAACAAATGTGCAAAAAATGAAACTTTCAGTGATATTTAATTTACAGCTAAGTTTGTGTATTATGAAGATGTTAAAACAGACCTGATTAATTTGGATAATATACAAAATTATTTATTAGAAGTAGACATTTTTTAATTAAACGAGGTGAGGATGGTGCAGAAACATTTTTGAACTGTGAAAATCGCCATAATATAGTACCTGAGCCTAGTAAGTGGAAGAGAGAAACTATAAAACGTTTAAGAATGAATGGTGAAAAATATATTGGGTACCAGAGCAAAAATCAGTACCTAGCGAGTCACAATGTTCTAAGACCACCAAGAAATATAAAACCAACATGTATGCCTCGGTAATGTCATAAAGCAAAAAATAGATTTTGTAACACTCTTAATAAAATGCAAAGATAACAATTTTTTTTACATTTTAGAAAGCTACCTGGGAAGAAAAGAAAATGTTAGCATGTAGTTTGGTTAACAAAATAAAAACAAAGCGATCCATTAAAGAGGACAGTGATAATAGTAGGGGGAAAACACTTATGAGTATAATTTAAAGTATAAAAATTTTCCTCCTATGAAGGTTTCTAAAAAAAATGTTTTTGGCAACACTTGGTTTAAATGAATGTATGCTTCATAATTGGATTAGAAAATCTACTAATGGCCTTCTAAAAAATTCTAAGCATTCTCTTGATAAACATATTAATGAGATATCACCCCAGTTTCTGGCAAGAAAAACTATCTTTACATACTGTGTAGAACATTTCAATAACTGGCTAAAAAGTTTTTCAAAAATGCCATCACGTTATTGTTGACAAAGATCTAAGATGTTGTACTTAGAAGATCCATTCTACAGTTTTCAAGAAATTTATGAATGCTATACACCATAATGCAATAAAGATAAAATAAAAATAATATAATTTAGTGAATGCTATTTTAATAATTAATGAAGGTCAACAAATTTTCCATCTTTAGCCCTAGAAAAGATAAGTGTGATTTTTGTACATCTTATGAAATGAATAAAAAAAAAATGAGAATGAATATGCAATACACTTAGCATATAAAAATAGTGCTAGAGAAAAAAAACAGTTGGATAAAAGTAGGGCACAAAAAAAATGAAATTTATTGCTTTACTATTGATATACAACAAACAAGCTGTTAAATTTTGTCCATCTTTGAAATTATTCAATGAAATTTAAAAGCCACAATGTTACTATTTATAATTTAGCAACTAATGAATGTTATAATTATTGGTGGCATGAAAGTAAAGGTGACCTAGAAGCTTCAGTATTTGCTACCTTCCTAATTAAGTATTTAATAGTGGTGTGTGTTGAAAAAATACCTATTATTATTTATTCAGACAGTTGTGGTTAACAAAATAGAAATGTAATTATGTCCAATGCACTCCTTCAATTTTCTAAACATCAAAATATACCTTTTGAACAAACGTTTTTAATAAAAAGCCACACCTAAATGGAATGTGACAGTACTCATAGTATGATAAACAGGAAACTTCACAATAAAAATATATTTTTATCATCTGATTATGTTAGGATTGCCAAGGAAGCAAGAAAATTTTCAAACAAATACAAAGCAGTTTTATTAAGACATGACTATTTTTATGATTTTAAGACACTACAAGAGTATATTTCAATAAGACCAGGTATAGGCAAAGACGAACCAGAAGTGAAAGATATTCAAGCATTTTTGCATAATCCATCATCATTTAAAATTTATTATAAACTTACGTTTAACGAGCCTTATTATGAAATACCTAGGAAAATAATTAGAAATAGAATAAGCCAAAATTTAAGTACCTAAAATTATTGAAGGAGAAATGTTTCAATTTCAAAAACTATACAAAAGCCCTTTGTCTCTAACCAAATCCAAGTAGAATGACTTACAAAAATTAAAACAATTTATGCCCATAGACACTCATTCCTTTTATGATATGTTAACCCATTTAAATACTTTCAAAACCAAAGCTATTAAAATAAAGTCTAATTGTTGAATGTTTAAAATTTTGTATTTCATTCTTCTCTGTAAATATTATTTAGTTTATTTAATTAAAGTAAAGATTGAAAACAGGAACTTGAAATCTGATTTAAAGAATTAATTTATAAAACAAATACAACATATGAATTGTTATTTGAAAGTCTAAATAATTTTATTAAAATTTAAACTGTTTTCAAGTAATGTATTATTTTATTTAATATCAATAGCAATTTTATTTTTATTTACAAATTTTTTTTAGTTATTTTATATCAATTAGAATTTTAATTGTTTTTTATTTTTTAAAAAGTTCTGTTTTATTGTTACTACTCTATTATAATGTTCTTAGTTATTCTATGATATCAAATAGATTTACAGTAAAACTGTAGTCATTTTGAATAAAAAGTATTGAAGTAGGTATTTCATTTAATAAACAAGTATTTTTTATATTGATAAAATTATTTAGTGCCTCACAAATCACAATGAATAACATTATAATTCTAATAACATTTAATAGTTTATTTGAAAATATACTTATTTGTTATTAAGTAATACCCTATATCTATGTATTTTATCATTGTTAATACACTAACTTCACACAAATTGGTAAATTGTTATTTTTCGCAATATATTAAGATTAAATTACACATTTTATAAATATAATAATATAAATTTAAAATGTCATTATACTAATATTTATTTAATTTTTTGTTGTTCCTGAAAAATCATTAAAATGTAGATATAAGGTATTGCTGTTAGAGTAACAATAGTACAAATATGTACTTATTTCTTTTTTATTTACAATTTTCATAAATATAAATATTTTATAGTTTTTAAAAAATAAATATGGGAAATTGTATGTCAACTGGAGATTTAAAAAAAACATGATATAATAATATACTGAGTAAAAACTCAAATAAATACGCATTATAAAATATTGCATTATTCAAAATTTGATATGTCATTAAATATACTCTAAAAAATAATAAACTTGGAATACATGCTCTTATAACTACAAAATCACTAAAAATTCAAAGATATACACTATAAACTTCTAATATTTTTTTGGTTGTGTCATGAAATTAATTTTAAGCTTACTTAAAAATAGATCTGATAATCCAAAAAAAAAAAATCATGCAAATGCAATAATTTTCAAGCCCTAATCATTAATCATTTATGTATATAATATTTGTGTGCTTATATGATCCACATGGAGAGGTACCAACTATAGTACTATATTATTAAATTAGTCATTAAGCGTTTTAAGGACAATTTTTAATGCTTAATTGCTATCAAAATGATTATAGTGGACAATTACAAAGTATAAATAAACATTAACTACTTTAATGAATAGGCATTTGGACAGAAACAAAAAAACAGATTTAGTCACTTAAAAAATGAAAAAAAAAATTCAAATAAAATTTATTATAAGATGTCACTAAAACTGTCAAAGTATGTTTGATAAAGCTCAATCTTGATAGTCCAGATTCTGTATCATTAACGCATTTTTATTGTTACTATTTGTGTTCAATTATTTCATTAGCTTTAAGTGTTTCTTGAATTTACAAAACTCAATTTTAATCAGAATCAAATTTGCTGTCTATTTTATGGATTCAAACATAAAATTCATACTAAATTACTACAAGCATTAAATATTAAACAAATTTAACAATTTTATAATAATATCGATCAAATAAAAATATATTTTATATACCAATAAATATTCTATAAATCATTATTTATTACACAATCATTTTTCAGCATTTTACTGGATATTAATTTAATTTAAAGACTCTTCAACCTGGATAAAAAAAAATTAAAATTGCTTAAGAACCTGTTTTAAATCCTCTTAATTTTTATTGATACATAACTAGAATATTATAATATAAATAAATAATAATTTCTCAAAATTATATGCAATAGTATCATTATTTGCTACTTTTTAATTTAATATTTAAACAATTTATTTATTAAAACAAAAGTTGAAAATAATTTATTCATACTAAAATTTACAAATTAAAATTTGACTAGTAATATGGCAAAAAATGTATAATTTTAAGTATTAAGTAAAATTAAGATAATATCTTAATTATAATTTATACATTTTAATATTGTCATAATTATATTTTTTTAAGTATTATTTATAAATGTTTGTACTCATACATTTTCAACACAATTTTCTCTTATTAATCACTACCTTTATTCAACTATATTATTTCTTCTATTTTTTTTTTAGTTATTATATAAACAATCAATAACTAAAGTATAGTTAAAATTATCAAATATACAATTTTAGTATCAATTAGACAATAATAACTGTATGCATAAACAATATGATAGGAATTCTTCTTCATGATAATTTAATAAAGCTATGACTATGTTACTTTCAAACAGAATTAAAATTCTAACAATCATTAATATAGTATAACACTACATTTTTTTTAAACAAAACTAAAGAATAAAATCATGAAATAGAACAGTCAACATCAGTTAGTCCTAAAGAATCTTCTAAGACATAGGCAATTGCTCTAATAATGTATGACATTGTTCCATAACTCCCACTTGGGGCACTGTCATAGAAATGTTGACATATATAAGCAGCACCACCACACAACAGTGAACCACCTTGGGTAAGTTCTTTGTGTACTTTTGCACAACACAAAGTGGCATCTCCATTAATAGCAATCTATTATGAGATAAATAAATTAAAATTTGTGAATATGAAACATACATATAAAAAAAAAATATAACATACTTGATCTTGTAAAAACAATTCATTAGCTTTATGTACAAAATCTTCAATTGTTATTATTCTATGTGGAGTAGGTGAAATTTCTTGTTCAGCATAGAGCGTAAATATCATCAATGTCTCAACTATCAGTTGTCTATACTCAGGATGTGGAATCCAGTTCAGTATGGTTTCTACAGCTAAAGCAAATTTTAACTCGCCGGATGTCATCTAAGTTAAGTAAAAATATATTAATTTAATTTTCAAATTATATGTATTTATCTTGAAAAATGTAACATACTTCTTGAGTTAGGCTCTGTGATAGGAGTTTTCCATCAATAGCTATTCCACAACACTAGAAAAAAAAAACCGTTTTATTATTTTTTAAACTTTATTTAGATCAAGGGGATTACTTTTAATGAATAGCTTGACAAAAATACTTGTACCTTTTCTAAGATAATCCAAACACGTTTATAGAATTCTCGAGGTACTCGATTTAATGCTCCATCTAAACGTCTACGCCGTAACCACTGACCTTGACGATCACTCTCTAATGCATCACTGTTGACTTCTGATTTATCAGTCAACAATAACCCTTCGATTTGGCTTTTCTAGTAATTACAATTATTATATTAATTTGTGTATTGGTTTTTTGCTTGTAGTCTATTTTTTATACATTTTTGGTCTAGTGGTTTCAGTTAAACAATTTAAGAATCAAATTACCAAAACATATTTATTATGCATTTGTATTAATTATGATCATTTTTAACATTCATAAAATTAAGAAACTGATACTCGATTTGTCATAAAATAAAATACTTTGCGACCACAATGTACAAAAAAGGTAGTGGTAACTTAAGCAATACTGAGGTGAAAAAATATCTCACCACATGACTTTTAATAGATTAAATACTATTAATTACCTTACTGACATGGCTTGATTTGTAGCTTATTACTGAAAAATTACCACGCCCCACTAGAAAACAAAATCAAATTTATTAAAAAAAAAAAATGTATTTAATTGTATTTTTAACTAAGAAATTTAATAATTTACCACTACTTAATATAAATTCTTTTCCACTCATGATATGATGTAATAGATTTTTCATTTCAAATGGTGATAAATTAAATAAATGTTCGGAACCTTCTTCTCCTGAACAATTTAATGTTCTAGATAATTCACCGGCCATGACTTGTATAATCAAACCAACTCGAAGCCTTAACATTTCCAAAAACAGTTGTGGTTCAGTTCGCACAAACATAGCCAAATAAACTAAAAGTTCCTAAATATTATAATAATTATAGTATATATTAGATAGATTTAAAAATTATCAATTAATAAATTTTACTTGTGTTAACATGGCTGTACTTTCATCATCTCCATAAGCATCATGAATTACTTGTCGTAATTCTCCTTCAGGTAAAGGTGTAGATATTGTATGCTCATTAAATGGAGGCATACCTATAGTTACCTAAAATAAAAATGTTTGATGTTTTTCAAAACACACAGCTTCAATAAATATTTATTTATTTAAATTTAACTTACCTGTTTTTGACGAACCAAAAGATCTGTTAAAGCTTTAGCTAAATCTTCTACACGTTTACCTAACATTCCAGCTGTATGTCTAACTAAACCCCAATGGTTTTGTTGACATGCCTTTTCATAAAGTAATTTTAATAAATCTTTAACTAAAACTGGTTTACAGTCTTCCTTCATTCCTATAAAAACATTAAAAATTTAATTACATTTTATAAATAAAAATAAGCTAATTTATAATTTATATTTGTGTCAACCTGTATCATATTCTAAACCATAAGTGTCCACTAAATATTGTAAAATATCTCCTTTTTCTTCTAAATCTGATTCACTTAACATAGATAAAATACCATCCAATTCAGCTTCAGCACACAGCAACTCTGTACTTGCCCTAAAATTATGTTTAAGTTTAATTTGGAGATCTTTAATTCATTGAACACATAAATTATAATATAAAGATAAAACAAGTAATAGTTGAGAAAAAAATATTGTGATGAAACGCTTTTAAGGTTTTAAACTGTTTTTTTTTTTCAATACTAGACAACACTAGATTTTGCTTTAAATATCGACACAACTGTTCATAGCCATAACTATCTCATTCATAGGATGCTACACATATAAATAACCATTTTAAGTATAAAAAATATCCTTTTCTAAAAATTGTTAACTTCAAAATGTGTATCTTTAAACATAAACCATCTTCCATGCGCTAATGATAAATCTTTGTAGACGAATACTAATTTACAACAAATATTATTCTTTTGTTAAAATTTTAAATTTTGGTATTAAATAATAATAAAAATAAATTAAAATTATATGAAAAACAATGTGTTTTTAATAAAATAAAATAATTAAAATATTCAAAAAAGCAATTAATTGTTTTTACACCTTGATAACCACAAAAAAAAAGTAAAGGATTATTAAATTTTGTAAATTTTTTGTATTATAAATTTTTTCAGCATTAATTCGATACTCAAAATGAATAAAAAAAAGTAAATATTTATATTACTTAAAGCGGCTATGGAGTCGAGGACGATGGTGCTCTCTTTTAGTTGGCATTACTACTACATTATTATCAGGAGATGGACTTCTTTGTGCTAATAATTTTGAAACAGCCAGAGTTTCAGCAACTTGAATGCGTCGTTCTTCAGCTGTAAACAATAGTTTAAAAAAATTAAATCAAATAAATAATTCAAATAATGTAATTACCATCAAGCATAAATGATCTTGTTTTCTTAATAGCTCCTTTAACAGACATTTTTCTTTTTATTTTCGAATTTTTACTAGGTATACAGGTTAATAAAGTAGATTGATTTGTAAAACTTTTGATAATATGCTCATCTAAATATTGTTCTACCTCTGTATTAAGCTCTAAAAAGTATGAATTATGATTAATAATAATTATAAGAAAATGTAATAGAAACTTACTATATGGCATTCCAATTTCTTGACTGCCTAAGAAACTAAGATTTGTAACACAGGAAGTACTAAGGAAGCCATTAAGATTTCCCAATGTTACTCTAAAAAATAGAAAAATATAATATTTAGTACATAAAATATTTAATATGACATGTTACCTAGTTCCGTTAATATATCCACTTTTTAATTTTTTGATTGTTGTTATAACAGCTAAAGGAATTTTACCTTGATCTATAAACAGTATGAATGGTATTAATACTTAAAATTAACTAGATAATTTAATAAATTAATAGTTTAAGGTTTAAAATAAATTAATTCTGTACAGCAATTATTTGATTAAAAATTTAAGACACAGCCATGCGACAAAAACAACACAAAGCTTATATAACATAATATGCAGAATTTGATACTAAATAAATAGATATGTTTAAAATATTTTTTACACCATTAATATTGATAGTTTTGAATATATTTACCTTACCTACAAAATTGGAAGAAGCAATTATAGTATACGTTGGACGACCTAACATATGCTTCCAACTCATTGTCAAAAATGCTAGATCCATCATAATATTGTTTAATAACAATTCAATATCATTTCCCATATAATATTGGTCCAAATCAAGTGTCTACTAGAAAATAATACCTAATAGCACTAAATCATTCACTAAGTACTACATAGTAAATACAAAAAAATAAAATAAAAGCATATTTGCCCTAAATATTCCTATTATTTTGTGATTTATTCAGAAAAATATTCAAAAATTAAATGATGTCAATCTATTAATAGTTACTTATTAAAATAAAAACACACTCATAAACATCAATTTTAATCTAATATATGAAAAAAACATTTTATTAGTATTTTATTAATATACTTTAAACACTATAATATAATTATTAACGTTTGCATCTACAATATTTATTTGTTACTAACAAAAAAGGAAAATATAATTTATTAATTTCATAAAAAAATGTTAAATTAAACTCATATTTTGTTATAGACTAAAATATTTTATAGTAATTAATAATTTATTATTCTAAAAATAATAACACAAAATTATATTTTTGAATATTTATAAAACAATAAATACCATAATGCAGTTTTTTTATAACAATAACAACTGTGGGTCGGCCTAATAGGTTTTGCCAACTAGATTTTAAGAAGTTTATTTCATTCTTAAATAAATCTATCAACAGATTATTGTCAGATGCAATGTAATACCTTTGACGATCTGTAATCTAGATTTAAATTGTTAAAAAAAAAAAATTATACTTTAACACTAAATCAATGAAAACTAGAAAACCTATTATAATATAAATTTTTTTGATTGTTTTAAACTTAAAGTTTATAATATTTCCTATCTGATTTCTGTATTATTTTATGAGTATTGATATTATTTAAATGTAAGGTATGAACACTTTAAATTAATATCAACAAAGACCTATATTTTTTTTCTTTAGATATTATACTTTACATATACATATAATCAATCTATTATCTACGTAGTATAATTTTTACTTTAAAAATTAAAAACTAATTGTAAAAATAAATATTTTATTTATTGCATAAACATACCTGTGGAGTGAAGGCAAATATTCGATCTTGCAATGTATATAATTTGCTGGTACTAAGAATTCCAACATCACGAGATTTTCTTCCAGATAATCCAAGTTTTTCATTTCGGCCTGGTGATTAAAGGTAACAAAAATAATAAACATTATTATTAACAACTATTTAATCAGTAACAATATAGGGAATAAAATATAGAAAAAAAAAAGCTTGCCTAAATATGTGTAAAGATGACTTAGAACAGTTGAAGGCTGCACTTCAATTGGTGAAACTTCACTTATGGTTTGAACAGCAATATCATGTTGTAGAAGTAGATCACGAATTGCATTATCTTCAGCTAACACAACTACTTGTACAACAACATCAGGTTTTTTTTCCAAACATAGACGCCTATTTAATGGATCTAGTTCCCCAACAGCTAGAAAATTCTATGAAAGTATAAAGTATTTACTGTAAATGATCTTAATTACAAACATATAGCTAAAAATATAACTCACTTCTTGCAAAAGTTTTCCAAGCATATAGAGTGACTGTGCCCATAAAAATGGACATCTTCCTAATGCTATTCGTTTTTGACTCCCTGGATTTTCAATTTCTGCATCTATGTTTTCACTCTCCAATGCATACAATTCAGGCACAAGTTTAATATCATCTTCAGAATCTATCATTACCTGCTCAATATTCATTAACGTTTTTATTTTAGTAAACTATATTAACACTATTTTCATAGTAGTTTTTTTTTTTTTTTTTTACCTTTTCTAAAGCATCAACATAAAAATTTGCAGTTACTGTATCATTTTGAAAACAATTATCTAGTATAAGATAACAAAAAAATAATGGCCATTCACATTCAATTTTTTCAAACACCCTCAGTTCATGAAGGTCATAATGAAGTCTATTAGGATCCTATAAGATTTATAAATCATTAAAAATAAAACAGTTATCAAGAAAATGAATTTACTTCACGCGGAGTTTTGTGGCCATCTCTTAAAAATCGCTTACAACCATATTTGCCCATCAAATTGGATACAATAGCATTTCTTGTCAACTCAATCAGTTGTGGATCATCAACTGAAAAAGCCGGGAAACTAATGACTGACAAAAGACTGCTATCTAATTCTTTTGAATTTGATTCTCTTGGTAGCATAGACTAAAAAATATAAATTTTTATACTGAAACAAAGAACTTTTACTTGTCATCACTAACTTGTAATACTGCATGACATTTTTGCGCTTCGTCTGACAATATATGTATCACAGAAAATGGCCCACCTCGTGCACCAAATAAATCTAAATCATTCATTGCTTCCAGAGCAGCTTTAGCCATTCCAATACTACTTGCATTTAATTCAGGTAAACCATGATTTGATTTATCACCTCGCTCCCATACACCATAATCCTGAGTAAAATCCATGAAGTAATAATTTAAGTTTTCTTTAAAAAAAAAAAAAAGTGTACTAACCGGTATACAATATGCAGATTCAATATAAAATACTAAATTTTGAATAAAAGACACTTCATCCAAGTTAAATACAATTTGAAGACCTTAAAATATAACATTGGAAATATATTATAAAATACAAAAATATTTTATTGAATTATTAGAAAATAAATCTTTTAGAGTATATACTGAAATCATTACAAATTAATAATATTTAAGAGGATGTCAGCACAATCTACTTTCAACCTATTACCAACACATAACAGGGTAAATTGTGTTAAAGAGAACTAATCACATATTGTTAGTTTTAATCTGCTGACCTATAGCATGTTAAGAATTTGTCTTAATTATTTTTAATGTAATATTAAATATTTATATTTAAATTTGTGTTAGCTATAATCACTTTTAAAATTCATGTATATTAATGTTTATTGCATTAAATTTGAATAACATTATATAATTCAATAATTGAGCTTTAATATTAAAATTATTAGTGTTACATAAGAGTATTTCTATCACTATTTAAGTATGGATCATGTTAGGCAATCAACAGTTAATTAAAATATCACAATTTTTTTTATTATTATATGTAACTAATAATAAGGTAGATGGAAGCTTAAAGTAATAAAAGAATGCAATAGACAATGGTAACTAAAATAATAATAAAATAAGCAAATATCATACAATCAATGATGGTTAATATTAAAGTAAAATTGTCTAATTATTAAAGTTAAAGCTAACGACATAAAAATAATTATACTGTTTAAAAATTTTCTATGTTATCTGGATCAAAAACAAAAAAAAAAAAAAGTGTACTGATAATTGACATACTCTCAAATAATTTAACCATTAAAATAGATTAGTAATAAAAATATTAATTTTTAAATTAATTTTTCTACTATGATTTTTCATTAAATAATAATTGTTATAAATAAGACTTATAGTATACATTTCTTAAAAATTACCTGATGCTGTCATCTGTGCTAGTATCAGTAAATATAATGAAATAGCATCAATTTGTAAGTGTCCCCATTCGTTATCACCAACAACTGTTTGCCCTGTTGCAGAACTATATTTAGCATGTAAAGAATGTAATGGATTTTGGGAAACTTTAAATTGCTCTACTTTATCTTTTTGCTGCATCATTGCCATTAATAACCCACGCATCAATTTCACACAACTCTGCAAAAAAAAAAAAATAAAATAAAACTATAAATTATAATTTAATCCTGACTAAATTAGGAACAAGTTACACATTATCATTTTATTTTAAATTATATGTACTTTAAACATAATTGTTCATTGTCAGACATAATTACCATCAATATTAATAGGTACTTTTAAAATGTTAAACAGTAAACATTCATAAATAACCATTAATTATTAAATTACACAATAATACTCATACATATACACACATCAATACTAAAATGTATTATGGTTAATATCTATGATGGAAGTTATAGTTGACTATGGAGACTATAGTTGTTAATTTAACTCAAGAGAATACTTAAAACTGTTGAAAAAAATCAAAATAAATAAATGAAATATTATAGGTATAATAAATTATAAAGCCAAGAAAATACACTCAAGTATAAAATAGAAAAATTGTGTGCATTAGTTATGAATATTCATGTATTAAGCAGTCAAACAAGCATAGACAATTAAATGATATTGAAAATAAGATAAAATATTAAACAATAAGCAAAAAAATTACATTAGGAGCTTATGTAACACTTATTTTATTCTAAATTGATTCATTCAAAGTACCTGTTCAAGTTCATAAGTTTTTGCTCGGTCTTCATCCATATCTGCCATTTTTTTACAGGCCATAGATAAGCCCCATACAGCCAATACCGTATAAACATTGTCTCTGATCCAAGCATCAGAATTACTTGGGCTGGCTGGAAACAAGCCCGTCACTGGATTCTACAATATTTAAATAAAAATATTTTTCAGCACTTAAATTTGGAATTAATTGACATTTACAAATAATACTACAAGTTCTCTGTCTTTTCAACCATTGTTGTGCACCAGAATTACTCTGTTTAGCGAACTACTAATATTTGATCTCTTTTTAACGCTAGCTAATATAAATAATGATGGTACGTAGGATATAGGGATAGAAATATTACAAAAATAGTATGTCGATCGTACCTGGTGGCACAGTATGATATTTTGGACTATCTTGTGATAGTAGTCCAGTCGCTGACCGGCAATACTTTTGTTGTTCATTTTTGACATTCTTCTCACTGACCGCCAAATTGGATGTACAAGGACCAAACTGAAGGTAAAACAGGGACAGAGCAATCGGTAAGTAGGTATATAATAAAACAAATCGTAATTATCTCAACAGCCACCAGTGAACCGGAAATGTAGAATTGAAAAATCGGACTTATCGTCAGTCTAGCTGATCAGAACTCGAAAGATCCGGACGATCGTTTGTGACGTACTTCTATTTATAACAGTAATAGTAGTAATAAATAATCAACCGACTAGATACATTATGCATTGTAATAATGTACAACTATAGTAATCATTGATTTTTCTCTTTCACTCGTCTCTACATGAGCCAGTTGCGTCTCTCTCTATCTCACTGGCTTGTCTAAACTTTTTGAATATTGAACTGTCCGTATCTCATTTTATTATTTTTTACTATCATTTTTCTCTCATTATCAGCTTGCTCGTTATCAGCGCTTTACAGTTCACACGGCCCAGTATTTTTTTTTCTTACGGTCGTCACTAAAACGGCGGCATCATACGTAACTACAATAACATTATAATATATCTAATGATTTTTAGCGATTCATAAATTTTTTATCATGTTAGTATACTCGCGTGTACTAAGTCGTTTTCATTAATCACAAGAAAATTATTAATCCTAGGGGAGGTGCGGGCAGGTACTATCGAATACGAAAAACAATTTTATGAATGGAGACGGCTGTCGGTATTATGGTAGGTTGATTTAATTTTAAAAATAATAAATAATTATATCATTGTTATTAATTTTAAGTTAATACCATCTTACCATAAATAGTGTGGATTTGTTCATTGTATAAAAATATAAAATATAGATATACCTATAAGTAATATTGTCGTTGACAAATGTTGTCAACATCTGAAATACAAATGGTACATAAAAAAAAAAAATGTGTCCATGTAGTATTTTAAATACTTTTATACAGCTATAAGGCCTATAAGTACCATAGGTGGAACTTGATAAATTTAGTTGGGGGGCTCAAGTCCTAGATTATTTAATGAAAATAATTATTAATAAAATAATAACTTGAAACTTCCTATTTGCTAAGAAATAATCGTGTATGTGTTTTATAAAAACAAAAAATAAAGACCAGCCAGCATTTAGCTAGTGATAATGCTAATTATATTTCAATACATTTATGAACAAATAAACTAAAATTTATTGATGTATTGCATTACTATAAATATAAAAATAAACAGTAAAATAAGGAAAAATTAATGTAGAAGAAATAACTAACTGTTTAATTATTAATTGTTAGGTACCTACCTACGTAACTACGGTAGGTATACATTTGGAAATTCCAGATGCTAATCGAAAACTTAGGGGGCTTAGTTCCCCCCGCCTATGCATATATTATGTGCAATCCTGTATTAAATTTTAAAACTTTCTGACTCTGTGAAAAATCAATTATCTATTAACAATAATTGAAAAAAAATAATCGTAAAATATTTAGCTTTGGTGGAAGTTAAAAAAAAAGGCGGAAACCACTAGTCTCATAGAGTCTTATATAAAATATAATGGAATCTCAATAAGTTAAAATTCAACAGAAATGCAATTTTTTCGACTTATTGTGGTTTTCGATTAAGTTTTTGAGTTATTAAGGTTTTAAAATGTATGTTCGTATTATAATTTTTAATTATTGTATAGTATCTATATATAATTACAGTGTGTATTGTTGTTTTGATTATTTTAAAATTATTGCTAAAACATGCGATTAGATAATTATTTACAAGTAGTAAATGTTTTTAAACTATGAAGCATTTTTACACTTACTACACCGTAGGTACGTACACTTGTAATCGATCGATTGTAAGTTTGCAATTAGTGTGTAGGTAATAGTATAATATACCGAATAAAAAAAACATGATAATAAACAAAATAAACATGATTAGATTAAATTATCGAAACACACAAGCCGATTAAACAAATGACTATAAAAATTTTCTATCATTATCCGTCTATACTCGGAACACAGAATGTTCGAGTTATCAATAGGTTTTTTTTTTTCAAGTAATCGAGGTTTTTGCAGGAAAATAGTATTTATTTCGACTAACCAAGAGTAATGATTCCACTGTACTAGATTAGGTACTATTTATTCGGTTTTCGATTGCAATTCGTATAGCTCACGCCATTCGTGAACATAGACATGAATACAGGGCATGCACTGTGTGCCTGGGCATGCTTTGCGATTTTTCATAGGTCAAAGAACCCAATAGTTCAATAGAACTGCCCATATGGGCCATATATTATAATTGTAATAAATATACCTAAATTACCTGAGTAAATTTTAAATATATTATTAAGCAAATTTAAAAAATTAGAATAATTTACTTTGAGCAAAACTGTCGTTGAAAGTATGTGTTTGGATACAGTATATCGTATAAAAAACGTGTAATGGGTAATGACTAGTAGAGATCAAAATGTCAAAAGAATTCGGGAAAATATCGGGAGAAACTGTTGTTTTCCCAGGGTTTCGGTAAGTATGAAAAATTGAAGAATATTAAAATAATACATTTCCAAAAAAAAAGGAAGTTTTCGGAAAATTAATAAATTATATTTATATTTTAAATAATCAAAGTTTAAAAAAGACCTCAGTTAAAAAAATAGACAAGAAACTTGTTATTGTCATTTCATATTTGTCAATAGAACGTACGTATCATTACATTAAACTATTAACTATTAAAGTATTAATTTAAGTAAATTAATAAAAGTAAAAATAACGTGTTAGAGTACTAGGAAATGGAAAACTATAAATTATGATTATTATTGTTATTTTTATTTTCATAAAATTACTGCATATTACATAATATTATTAAAACAAGTAATGAGTAATTATCATCATATTATTATTTGTGTGCGTTACTGCGTTAGTAGTACACTCTCTGTGACTATTGACTATACATTATGAATTTATGAATTATGATTATATACTAGCACCGGTGAAACTCGCTGTATACATACTATATAGTTATGCATTACACTATATACTATACAGTTACAGTATACCTACACTATAATAATATAGGGTATACATTTTTAGAATATTTATCTATTTTTGTATTAATAAATACTAAATAGTAAATAGTAACAATGTACCTATTACATAAATTTATTGTTTGGTAAATATAAATAATTTAGGAAAGGTTACAATATGTTTAAATAATATTATTATTGTATGATGTACAAAACAGGCTCGTACTGGTTCACCGGGACATCGGAATTTTCCTGTTGCGCCCCATAATCAATTAGTGTCCCTCTCCCCCTTATTTTTATATTATTATAATATTTATAATAGCGTATTTATTTTATACCTATGTGTGTATAAATAAATTTATGTTTTGTTATCATTTATGATATTATAAATTATAGAACCATAGAGGTGACTTGTAAAATTAGAATACCGAAATCGATGTTAGACATTTAAATCCATTGATGATTGCTTTTATTTCGGTTTATCTTTCATTTTATTTTTAATAATACCATAATGGAAAATAACATCGTCTCATTTGTTCGTGAACCATCGGGTATCGACGCGGTAGTTGTTCTACGAAATACGATTTACTTTCTGTAAGTATATATAAAATTATTTAAGGGATTGTTCTAATAAAATATATTATTATTGCCGAGTACTAATGCAAAATATATGAAAAATGTAGTACCTAGTACCTATCTGAACTTCCTAATTGTATTTTAGTAAAATTATCTACTTAAGCTAAAAGTTAGAAGTTAAATACCTATTGTTTATAAAATATATTTAATTATAATTTCTTATAAATAGGTACTAAAAACTAAAAAATAGAAATTAGTCCGAAATGAAGGTGAAGTGACTCAGGCGGTTGCCTAGGGCACCATTCTCAGGGAGTAAAGAAATTTCCTTTAAAAGTGTTTTACATTTATTTTATATCAATAATATTATTTTATTATTAAACATTTGTGTTTATTAATTATTTTAAAGTTTTCTTTTTCTTTTAATTAAAATAATATACATACAAATATTATAGCGAATATTTTCCTGGTGCAATCAATGTACCTATACCTATTTAATTTGTGATAAATATATACATATAGATATAAATATAAAATATATTTCAGATAGTCTAGGAAAATCGATGTGTAATGATACAACTTGTGTTTTTCTAATGTATGTATCATATAAAAAACATATCAAGTTTAAAAAAGTCTAATAGTTTTAATATAGAGAGCTGGTAATAATTATATAGGTAGGCAAAATAATCTATGCTTAAAGATTAGGAGTCTAAGTACACCTACGTATGCCGGCGAATGAAATGGCTCACTACAGGAGCATTATTTTAATTTTTTTATATTTATAAAGTTTCAAGCAGACCATACAAATAAATAAATACGACTATGTATATTCTTCTGGTTTTAAATTTTTCTATAGATCATAAATCGCATCAACATAAACAGCAAAATAAATTTAAAACCAATGTTTCATGGATTACTTAATCTGAACTCCGTGAAACACATTGACCAATAATCAAAATCATATTTATAATTTTATTCATAAATTGTAATTTGTGAACAATAAAAATTAAAAAATAACATTAATTTTATATTATATTTATTTTTATTATTGTAACTAAACTAGTTAAGATTTAAACATATTACCATTGACCAGTTATTTAGAAAACCATATCTTGATTATTTTTTGTACAGACTCAATGCCAAAATAAATCCTTATTGATACAAGTACACAATAATTCAAAAGAGTTAATTTTTATAGAACACATTATATTATAATAATATAACTATAATCGGCCCTCTGTATTAAAACTATTAGACTTTTTTAAACTTGATGAATTTTTTATGATACATACATTAGAAAAACACAAGTTGCATACATTACACATCGATTTTTCTAGACTATCTGAAATATATTTTATATTTATATGTATACATTTATCAAAAATTAAATAGGTATACATCGATTGCGCCAGGAAAATATTCGCTATAATATTTTTATATATATTATTTTAATTAAAAGAAAAAGAAAACGATAAAATAATTAATAAATACAAATGTTTAAGTGAAAAATGCCTAATGTTATAATATATCATCATTAGATGATCATAGATCAAGTATTGTAGTAAACTAGTAAACTTTAAAATGATCAGTCGCTGAAAATTTTGATTATAAATACCACTAGGATAATTTCTAAACTTTAATATTGTATATTACCATAATAAATATTTAAATAATTGATGAAAAAAAATATATTGAAACAATAATTATGTAAATTAAACAAAAGGTAAACTAGTAAATTTTTTATTTTTTTATGATTTCAAATTATTTGCGTACCTATAACTTATTTAAAATACATATATAGTGTGATTAATTTATCACAAATTAATAATCAAATTATGTAAAACTATTAATCATGTTAAAGACTAAAGTTATGTTAATTACATTGATAAAAAAAATATACGAGTATGTACCTCTTTATCACTACGATAATAATAAATATTTTATATTATATAATAATTAAATTAATAATCTGTAAAATATGCTATCACAGAATAATTACCAATATAAAAATAATGATAATACATAGATGAGTGCATTATAATAAAATATTATAACCGCGTATAGAATAAATCTGTAATTAGGTCACGCTAGTAATGTGTGTCCGCGTAAATAATTTTGTCCATTTACACACACACACCTACGTCATACATACAAATACAAATTCTCTTTATAATAAAATATAATATAATATTTATAATAGTGTGGGATGTCTCCAGAAGCAGCGCATCGCTCGTACAAGGATACGTATTGTATAAATAGAAAATAGTGGGCTCTCGGGGACGACGATTTTGTAGAAGAAAGCCCGTTGAAAAGGACTGTTCACATTTATCATCTGGGTCGATATACAGTGCTTGCAGCTTGCTAAACCTTACTTGTTAGTTGTTATTATAATTTTTATTGTCATTAGGACTAAGAATATTTTTGATAATACGATATTTTCTTAATCATCAATAAACACTTCTATCATTCTTAAAATTATTTGTCATCCTAACTTTAAAGACGCTAAAAAGACTAAACATTGAATATCAAAAATGTTTCTAAGTATTTTATTGCAAACTCATTGAATTATTCTGAGTGTTTTATTTTAAAAATAATTGAAATCATTTTAAGTTCTAAAGATATTCAACCTAGTTTGTTATTTTTTACTTATGTGTATTTCCAATAAGTCTCAATATTTAATTATAATTAAGGACAAGAAAAGAAAGAAAGAAACATTAATTTATAAATCAATATAATTAAAATACAGACAAAAATAGGTTACAGTTTGTAATTTATTAGGTATCTAAGTATAATACGTATTATTTATAATTATTATAATATGTGTATTGTAAGTATAATGTGTATATGTAGTATATTAGTATGCATAATACATTAATAAATATAATTTGATAAAAAATCAAATAGATATAGTAGAATAATAAAGTCGAGATACAGCTATTGACACGCACTAGTGATTAAAGTTCAATGGTCGACAAGGTAATAATATTATATTTGAAATGAGAACAATCGACCTAGGTATTCCTCGTTGGGATTTGAGAAAAACATTGGGCCACGGAATAAAATATGGATTTAAAACGTCTTTTGATAATTTTGAATTAAAAAAAAAAATAAATATATTATTTTCAGTTTTATTTATCTATATTATTTACGCGTTCGTCGTATTAGTGAATAGTAAACATTATCAAGCATTCGAGTGTAATAAAAAAGGGTAAAAAAAAACATACATGTTCATGTCAATACATCGACTCATGATAACAATTTTACAATATTAAATTTATTTAAAAACGGTTTATAGGTATTTTAATCAGTAATCACAATATGTGTGTTGTAACTACTGCGATTTTCTAAATCCTCAGTTCCTACTGTTACCACTCGCTCCCGCTGCGGGTCTGTTCGCTGTAGCGTTTTGCAACGGAGCTACAGTACGGTTGGTGAAACGAATGCGCACGTCTTGTGTGACCATGTTGGGCGTCAAAAACTGTTGGAGAGTGACCACGCCGTCCCGAGGCGTACGGTCGAACGGATAACCCATGGACCTAGCGTCTGGATAACGGGAGTTAAGAACGCCACAGTAGCTGGATGCGTCGTTGCAAACTTGTGCGTCTCCTTGGGCGTTTGGTACCTGTTGTGAAGTACAATAATATTATGTATTCAAGTAAATAAATGTATATTTTATACGTAATATTACAATGTTTGTAAGTATTTGAGTATAATAATTTAAGTACTTAAATATCTCGTAATTATTATAGCTTAATTGATACTACAAAATTCAGAGTTTGAATAATGTTTTGTTCGGGTAATTAAAGTGCGAACGTTTTATAGACAGATAGGTACAATAAGTACATCTGAACATACACATCAAATTAAATTATTAGTATGCAATATCTTACTAAATATTAATCTTTTTAATACAATTTGTTTAATTGTATCTATATTTAAAACATAATAATAAAATAATTTGTGAGGGGTTTCTATAACTTATATAGTTAACATTTTTAACACAACAAATGACAAATATCATTGATAGCGAGTACTTCAAACAAACTATAATTTTATAATGCAATTAAATTTGTTAAACTTTTATAAGACTACAAGACTGATGTCCAATATATTTTATTATGATAAAGTAACACGGTATGAGGACATTTTTTCCTTTGTAGGACTGCATACGCCAATTTTGCCTCTCTTGAAATGTTGATAGATCAGTAAAATTTACCTAATATAGGTATTATTTTTACGTATACAATATTGTATATAGCTTTGATAACTTCGCAGAATGGCGCGATGTCTCTTCATCAAATATCAACGTGACATCATTCATATCACTTTATCATGGGTTTTTAACGTTTAAACATTTCATTAACGATGTATAAAATAATATTTATCGGTAATATTTATCTGTTTTACTGGGTTTGATTTATGGAAAAATGTGAAAAATTTTAGCAGACCACATATCTATAATATCTATTAATATAATAAGAATTAGAGTATAATATCGATTGTTTTGATCTTTTAATCTTAATAATAAATAAGTGTACTTGTAATAATCGAAATATATACCTGATCATTTTCGCCATTAGATACCATAACAAACAGTTGACACTGGAACCCATCTACCGACCCCTTAGCTATTAACATGTTTTGTGGCCACCCACAGCCACAAAAGTTGAACGTTGCTGCTGCATCTGTATTTGCGGCCGGTCTGTTACTTCCTTGGTTTCTATAAGTTACCTCATGTGGTATAGTTACTGATGAATCAATAGATCGACGAACAATTTCGTTTCTTCCCCTTTTTACTGTACACATATTCATAAAGTAATTGGTTGAAAAAATTAAATAATTATAATTTGTAATACAATTGTAAACGCGTTAATTCTATTCAAGACTAATAAAATAATAAAATGTTCGATTGAATAAAAAAAATAAAAACCTTTTTTATTATTTTTATGTTTAAGTATTTTGTACACCCACACACACAATATATATGTTACGATGTATGTCCGCTGTTGGTCAATGTATATATACTTACATAACACGGTTTTGATTCGTTTTAAAATATAGTAGGTACAGACTAAGATAATTTTATATAAAATACAACATATTTAATTTAATCTATGAACTATTATTATTAGACAGTATTATAATATGTACTTATTATTCATTTCAATTATAATTATTTTATTTTACAAAATGTTTTAATGTATATTTATTGTATATCGATGACTAATATTAAATTTTCTTTGAACAATGAAATTATAAGTTGTGTGCCTACATCTATATATATTATCATTGGTTATTATTATACTGAATTTTCCATCATCCCAAAGCTACATTAAGTAAAACAAATACGATATTACCAACAATCAGCAAAATCACTATGTATAAATAATGTTGACATTATTATTATTTTTTTGCGGACATTCACAGTAACACACACACACACCATATATATATATATATATATACAGTGTTTCACGGTGAACTGACAATTGCAATAACTTTTGTTCTATTGAACATTTTCAACTTTTTAAAAAAAAATGTTTATGTTAAATTAAGAAATAAAAAAAAAAAATTATTTGATATTTAAAAAATCAAAATAGCCATTTTGTTGATATGATTTTTAAAACATGTTCGCAAAAAAAAAAAAAAAAAAATGTTCAAAGTTTATTTTCTATAATTTTTTGAAGGTTTCACAATTTCATATTATTTTAAATAGATTTTCTGTATAATAGATAATCGATCATCGTTATAATACTTATAACACTAATAAATAAGAATTTAATTTGAATTTAAGCAAATTTTAAGAATTGTTTAAAAATTATTGACTCAACCTTAGTAAAAGTTTTTGACACCAACATTTTTTTTAAAAATCGGATTTACTAAATAGATATTTTGATTTATTTAAACATCAAATACATTTTTTTTAAATTTTTAAATTTTGCATACAAAATGTTAAAAAAAAAAATCGAAAAATCTTTTAAATGTAACGCAAACAACAGCTTACAATTAAAAAAAAAAAGTTGAAAATGTTCAATAGAATAAAAGTTATTGCAATAATTAGTTAATGTGAAACACCTATCTAATATGTAAATACATTTTATGAATATTTTTCTTTCATTTTATTAGAAAAAATGTATTAATATATTATATTAATATTAATTTTTTTATTTAGTACTATATCATTTTATTTTTTCTATATTTTAGTTATTATATCTACTTGATTAAACACGTTACCTACGTATGTAAAAATTAGTTCGAATTTGATTGTTAAGAAATCAATTGTCAAATATTAAATCAATGGCAGCTTACAAATTTTTTAATTTAATAACGTGATAGTCAATGATTAGGGTTTTTGAATTACTATATGTGTATTAATCTTATTAATACACCAACAGATATATTTAAGAAAATGAAAAATATATTTTGATCATCAAAACACTTACATGATACACTAAATTTGTCAAGTTCAACAAAAAGTTTTCTTTGTTCTCTGAATAAAAATGGTAAACCACGCTCATCAAATTTAGGGGCCAAGAAGATACGAACTGTTCCAACTCGCTGATTTCCATTGTTCTCAACCTATTAATATTAATAAAATAATCATTAAACTATTTTAACTAGACCAAATCATAAGAATAAAAAAATTATAAATTAATTTTTTAAAACTCGATCCATTACTGGAATTGTTTTACTCCGTGGTTGCTAGTTTGTATATATTTAAACCTAATACTACATAGTACTATTAAGATACTTTTAATATCAAACTAAATACTATATTATTTCAAAATATAAAAGTTGGTGTACTTACAACAATTTTATAACTGAATGGAGCGTGTTGTAAGTGAGTAAATCGTGCAAATATAGATCCACGTGGTAAAAAGTCCAAGCCTCTAGATAAGTCAGTGTCACTTTGCTGCCAAAATGTCGCAAATTCATTTCGCGGTAACCCAGTGGCTGTTACTTCGACGCTTTGTACATTTATGCTATCGAAGCCCAACTAAAAAAAGTAGACATTTTTGATTAAGTTATGCATTTAATATATAAGTTTTAATGGTTTTAATGGTTTTTACATTTTGAACATTATAACTCGGTATAGTAGATTTAAATTCTTGGAATATATCATCAATATATGCGTGCCAACGATAAAATATTGGATCTCTCATAGCTGTCGCCGAGTCACCCATAACGCCATAGTTTTCCTGAAAATATTTTAGTTTTTAATAGGATTATACTAAATTGTATTTATTAAACAAAAAATAAGAAAGTTCTTACCAAAAATCTATTGTCAGGATCGTGAATATAAGCAATTGCATTGTGGCCATTATTATGAAGAGAACCATACAAATTTGGATTTTGACTTAATATACTAGCTTCGATAAGATTTCCTAATATATTTATTCCCTCATTTTCAGTTAATCTAACTTGTTGACCAGCAGTCTGTAATAAAATAACATTTTATACTTAATAGGATGTCAGCGCAATATTTGCTTTCTCTTTCAGACTCATGTAATATAATATGTAAAATATATTTGTGTAAAATCATTTGTTTATGATTTTTGAGTAATTTTAGAGTAAAATCATTTATTACAAAAATTATAGAGGATAATACCTATTTTTGTGGGTTTGACTTATCGGTTTTATAATTTATCATTAAATTCGACTTCAATAATAAAAATAAAAGTTGTACATTTAAATAGATATTAAATTGTTTTGAAACAATATTTAGGCAAAATAATATGTTATACCCACAAAAATATTATTTTTATCATTTTTATATTGGGTGATTTTACTTTAAGTTTACTTAAACAAATGAAAAAAAGATTCTGCGTGAATGCACTTTGTTTATATTACGCGTGGGCCAGAGAGAAAAAATAAACAGTGTGCTTTTTAACGCTGTTATAGCTTAATGATTTTATTATAATATGAAGATTTTAATATAAGAAGAAGAGCGTATTTTACATAGCTCTGATTTTTAATATTTTATCAGACACCTAAATTTTTCCATATATTTTTTCTATGTGTTATCTATTATTAAAATTGTTGCTGTTTGAAATTTTATATGTAGAAAATATTACTTAAGTTTAACCGTAATATAAATTTTATACTTTTACAGAAAGTCAAAGTTAAACTCATTTATTATTTTTATATCTTGTAATTACGTTGATAATAAATCCAGAATGAATAGCATTGAATATACGGTCTCTCCAACGCTCAAGATCTTCTATGTCAAAAGTGATTTGTTCTACTTCTCTGCTAATGTTCTGTTGTTTATAATAAATATATAAAAAAAAATAAACACATGTTATATTATTATACATACAGTTTATATTATATATTAAAATAATGTACAAAATAATAACTTTGTTTAAAGTCATAGTATATTATTTAATTCAAACATTACTGAGAGTACTGCATTGACAGGTCTTGGAGGCCACACACGATTGGCTAAAATATTATCTAATTTTGGAAAGTAGCCCTCTGCAATCGGTTCATTCCAGTTGGTTAGACGAACTACTCTATTCATGTTATTGCTTAACCGTTCCATGTTATATCTAAGTTTAAATGTATAAAAGTGCATATTTTTATCATATAATATATATTATATACTATACTTATACTTAAATTTATACTAAAATAATAATAATTTAAATATTATCTATGCAATTATTATTCACCTAGCTATGATTTGTTGGTGCATGTAAAAAAATAATTCACCACGTCTATCCTTATTTACAATATTGAGTGGTCCGTCGAATGGGTAGACCAAATGCCAATGCCAGTGATGGAGGTTAATGCCGATGTCTTCGCGGAAATAACTAATCCTGTGTTCCGAGTCCAGATTGTTAGCAGAATAATCGTGCGGTATTTCGATTGGAGTCTATTGAAATAATAAATATATATACCTATATAATATATTGTAAATTAATATTATAGATTAAGTAGGTATTAGGTATCGATTCAAAAATTATTAGTTTAAAGTTTTGTATTTATGATTTTGCCGTATTGGATATTTTTATTGGTTAATCAAAAAATTGATTTAAATTATATATTTAAATAGGTAAATTTCAAATTAGAATTTTTTTATTATTGCGCTTTTTTGTAGAAAAAAGTGTAGTTTTACGTAATTTTTATTCTAAAAATATTTTCTTTTTTTTTTAATTATCAATAAAATATAAAAAGCCATTACAATCACTTAAAAAATTATACGTTTTTTTTTAGTTTTATCGCTTCTTGAAAAATAATGATTTTTACTTATTCTTATTTTTTTACTTATTTGCGTGCTGTTAATATTGTACTTATTTACACGGATAAAATTGATAGAAGCACTATACTTTGAAATAACCCTTACCCTAGAACCGGCTTGAACTACAGCTGATTCTTCTCTGGCGCGGCTGAACACCGAAGAGTTCATGTACAAAGTTGGGAACATTTCGGAATGAGATGGTAGTCTTAAATTGCGAGTGTCGGGTCTGTGTATTATTACAACAGATAGTGCGTAAGTAAACATGTATGGGTTGATCCGGTCACGACAGTACACGGAAAGTGATAAGAGTTCGTCGTACGATTTCGTGTCTGTAAAAACATATAGAAATAAATTTTAACCAATTATTAATAATATTATGTTATTATTTAAATTTTATAATATTATATGTTCAACTAAACAATAACTGTTATTATATTACATTTATATGTTTGTAGTTATATTATTAGTGATTACATATTGCACGTGCATATATTTATTTATACTTACTCATTAGAATCTCGATGAGCTTTGCGGCCATTTTACTGTGAGATGGGTTAAAAAGTGAAAATGGCGCATCTCTGCTAAGTCCTAGTGGAATCGATAAGTCAGGAATATTTTTCAACTTAGTGATTGGAACGGTTTTACCACCGGGAAAACGAGTTTGAATGTCCGATGCCAATGGCTTGTAACGGTCGATCTGAATAAATAAAAATAAAAAGACAATTAATACATTATATTGTGCTCAAATGAGTTTCGTTGTTCTGTATCGAAATTATTATGGTATCAAATAGTATTTACTGATGATAAATCGGTAACCATCATCATAAATTATAATATATAAAACCTTGGTTGGAGTAGTTTTTTTTATTTTAAAATTGATGACTTATAAACGTTTGTAATTAACTAGTAAATAATAATAATAATAATAATAAGCTATAAAAAAAAAAAACTCACCAAGTATTCAGTGGGTACATCGAAAGACACATTATCATCGCCTTTTCCAATAAATATAGGTTCGGTAGGACGATCGAATAAGTATAAAATATTATTTTTGTCCGTCATGATATTTTTTTTTATTTCCTTTCTTTTGTACATGTAATACAAAAATGAGAAAATTAAGTGTATACAAGTTTTATTAACCAACATTAGTAAACATGGAATTTTTATACTAATAAACACGTTTTTTCTTGGTGCACAGTACATATTTCTGAAGAAATTAAACGGTTTAATTTAAAAATGTTAAATTCGCAGAAGTTTAATAATGAAATATTAAAAGTACGATTCCAATAGTTATACTATATATATAATATTTATGTTGGTACTTAATAAATAATGATAGACAAGACTAATATACTAAAAATGACTAATGTTGACGCGGTTTGTCGCGTTCACAAGCATAGGCAGTAGTGCTGTACAAAGCCTATAGGATTCACATGCCGCCTTTTCTAAGATCACATAATATATTACATATATTTTTTTTGTACATACAATATAATCGTACAAATTTATATAACCAAAATATACCTAATAAAGTTGTAAAATATTAATTTTTAGGCGATATATTTACTTTTAATACATTTTACTCGACAAAAGTGAATATTTTAATGATTTATATAAGTACCTACTATTATAGTTGGGTAAGAGTTTTAAAACACGTAAAGAATAACATATTAAACTCTCTCTTTAATAAATCAACATATTTTTTAAACTAAACCTAAAGAACTAAAAGTAACAGTGCATAAGTGTATTATAAATCACCTTAGATATAGTTAGATTAAGTATTAATAAATATATTTTAATTGATTATTTGTTACTATACCTACGTGTTATATAGTATATTGTAGTTGTGAGAATTTTTTAGTTTTTTTTTTCATAAATGTTGATAGAAATGTTTATACTTATTAAAAAACAAAGTATAACAATTTAAAACAAGATACTAAATGTTGTACTTAAATAAATTTTAAAATATTGAATATAGGAAGACGTATTTTTTTTTTTAAACATTCCAAGTTATTTTTATTTATATTGAAATGAAAAATGACGATTTTAGTTATTTTTTTTCAATTTAAGACATTTGAAACTTATTGCCACTAAATAAATTATTATTTACAATAAGTATTAGATATAAAATGAGTTTTAAAATATTAAGAATTATTTGAAGTTATTAATACCTACTATGAACATGAACTTATTCACAACGTTCTACGGAATTGACTGTAATAAGTTATACGTTAATAATAGCTACTATAATAATTAATTTAAAAAAAATATATAAAAAGAGCATTTAAAAATAAAAGAGCGTATTACTATAAGCAAAATAAATTACTAAATATAGCAATACAAATAAATAATTAAATATCCTTAGAAATATAATCTGACACGTTTTGATTTTCAGTTTAAAATTAAAATTTTAAAATGTTAAAATGTATTTAAGTAGTAGGTATATATTACTATTAAAACGTTTTAAAATATGTATATAATGATATATAATTACCAGTGTCTGTATAATATACTACTGTGTTGACTTGAGAATATATAATATGTATACCTATATGTATATTGAGCGATGAGAAAAATTTATTCGATTAATGATGTTTTATGCATTTGTAGTGCTTTTATATTGAGTATAAAAAAACTAAATATCATAATAACGACTAGTTATTGCGGTGGACAGTTAATATTTCCTAGTTGGAAAAGACCTGGACCACATGATAAGTGCCATTTCCGTGTTGATTAAAATATAAGATATAAATATGAATAAGTCTGTGGTAAGCTTTTATATTTTTTATAGATCATTTGGTATCCATTATATGCAAATTAAATCCTTGGGAGTTTTTAAAAACTATGACAGGAAGTCGTGGTGGTTATTCACACGATAAATATGGCTATACCATAATTTAATTACTCTGTGAAAATCCGGAGCTTATCATATAACATAATTATTTATAATTTTTTTCACGCGATTAGCATATATTGAGTGTAAAAAGACAATTTTCCATCAACCATTGTGACGATTCAAACTGCGAAGTATAGCGCAGTTTATAGCTGTACCTAAATTTAAATACCATTTAAATACAATCAAATAAAGGTACTTGTTAATAATAAAATAATAATATTATAATATAATAAGACAAGAATTTGAGTTCGAAAAATGAATTTTAATGACATTTTAATTTGTTACAGTAGTACATACTTAAACAAGGGTCAGTCTGAACTATATCCTAGACTAAAATATAGCCAGTAAAGTCCTCTTATCTGTGTTACTATATATGGCCTTTTATAAAAAAGAAAAAAAATCGCAATTTTAAAATAAAAAATATAAAAAGTTGATTTAGAATAAATTACAGTTCAGTAGTATAATACACCAGTGTTTGTTTAAGAGGACCAACCATAAGGAGAAATGTGGGGAAAGTAGAAAACCGCTCTGCTGTACAGTACTTTGTCATTGAGTAAGTCAATGTAATGTATATTTCAAATGTGAATTAAATGGTAAAACATTGCATAGGTATGAAAAACGATTCTGAGCGGACAAACCGTCAGTAGATATTACTATATAAATACTCAACATATTTCATAAAATATTCATATTGACCATATTCATATTATTACAGTAGATACCAGTTATTTATTTTACTAATTAATTAGTATAATATGATGCGTTTAATTAATTTTTACCAATTAAATTTCGATAATTATTTTATTAGTATTTAAGGGTATATTTATATTATATATTATTATTGTTATTAACTTTTGAGTCAATATCAACTTACCTATCTTAGAATAGTATCTTACCTTAGAATTTTCAGACTGAGCTATAAACATTGAGTCATTGAAAATTCTATTACATTAAAATATAAGCTATATAATTACTTACTTATAGATATTTTAGATTCTGAGCAAAGCGATAAATGTATTGATTTTACAATATGTTTTTTTTTTTGTGGATGAATACATGATAAATTCTTGATAAAATGCTTTGGTTTTCAAAAATGGGGGTAGTTTTGGATATCAAAATAGATCCAATTTTAACTTAAAAGAGGTCGAATTAAGAATTTCTCAGTACTTATTTTTATAATCGGGAAAAACAAACTAAACATTAAGAAAACCGGGAATTTTTACGCAAACATAATATTTGACAAAATCGATTTTGTTTTTTTTTTTATGTAATTGTCACTCAAAAATAAATAAAATGTTTATAAAAACGTTTTCACCAAATATTTATATTAACATTTTTTATAAACGATAAAATTTGAAAAATGTTTCTTTATTTTTGAGCTATATCTATCTATATAGGCATAAGAAATTTTTAATTAATTTTACTTTTTTTCTTTAACTGTTCATTAAAAATTATTTATTAGGTAAATGTTTGAAAATACAGAGCTCCTTATACGTTGTTAATTTTTAAATTAAAAAATATTTATAATATATAATCACAATATTTTTTATAAGCGTTCAAGGTTGGATTCTTAAAAAAATTCATAAAAATCGCGAAATTTAGTAACTTATTTTGTAATTAGAAATTTATAAAATTTTTTGATTTTATATCTAAGAATTAAAAGTTGAATACAAGGTTATTTGTTAGTATTCAACCAATAAATGAAAAAATAAATGGTCAAATTCAAAAGATCGTAAAACGCAAATTTAATTTTTGTCACCATAATAATATATGTTTGTTTAAATAATATATTTGTTGCATTAACAAATCATAAAGACGAATAATTGATAATGTATTATTAAAATAACACTGTAAAACTTGTTAAAATAATGCAACTGTTTCACTATATATTTGTAATAATTAGAATAATTCAAAATTATGTATAACCAGGATTTACCAAAATATAATGATAGTTATCATTGCAACAAAAATATTATTGTTATTTTATTCTTAAAATCTTATAAAATGTAATAAGTTTTATTTTTATGCAATGATTTTTTTACAGTTTACACTGTTTATTGTTTATAAGCAAAATTTTTTTCTTAATATAGATCAAGATCAGGGCTTATTCTAAGAATTTTTATCAACTATGTATTTTGTTAAAAAATCTATAAAAATAAACTATAATAATCTCGAAATATAATAAAGGTACTATAGTTAAAAATAATAACAATTTTATCTTGAAGGTAGAATAATTTAAAATTTAATCTACCTATTAAGAAGAAATAGAATAAACATTTCAGTTTAAATATTTTATTATAATTAATATTCTTTTTACTTTTTTCACAGTATTTATATGCATGACATATGTATATATCGACATACATTTTTATATTTTGATCAGTTTGCTTTTCAGATTTTCTTTTGTTGCTTCTTTAAATATCCTAATTAACTATTCTTGTTTGATTATAGCTTATAATCGTGTCTTTAATGCGGCGCTCATTTTGGTTTAACCATATTTATATTGTTGGTCTTAACCCCAAATCTTGAAGAGCAGGCATATTAAAATGAATTAAAATATATTTATTTTCTGCTTCAACATGTAAACTTTGATGATTTATTGATTTTAGAATATTGCTTTTACATATTAATTGTTCGAAGTCAGCGCTGTGAGGTTTTGCAGCCAAAATACGGCCAAGTAAAAAAATAATATTTTTAAACTCGTTGGACCCAGATAAATATTGCACTAATTTAGGTAATGGTAATTGTCGTATCCAGTAGCGTGGGAAGACTCGTTAGTGCACCTGACAAACTTAGAAAAAAGCGAATTACCAACAAAATATTGTTGGTAAAATATCGCGAAACCAATAAATCGCATGGAATAAATATTGCCAACCTGAAATATAACAGTAATTTAATTATAAATAAATAATATTGAATATTGATAAATATTGTTTAATAGTTATTAAATAATAATAGGAAAACCAAATACGACAAAAAATAAAAAGAACAAGGCAGTGAGGTAGTCCATTGGGCTGAAAGAGAAAAAAATGTAGTTGCAGATTATCTAAATCGAGAGTTTGACGATTATCATCTGAATAGGTAGTGCATTTAAATACTTAAATAAATTAATATACATATTTGATTATTTATTTTTTGTTTATTTTATTTTTAATACATATATCAATTATATTACATTATAAGTACCTACATATTTTTATCATTTTTATAAATTCTACTAATTATTAATATAACAATGTTATATGGGTACTTTGAAATTTATAAAATTATTCATAGCTATTATAAAATATCAATCAATGATCAATATTATTCATTTCATGTAATAATAAATAAATAAAATTTAAATTCTTAAAAAAATATTTATCATTTAATCAATAAATCAATTGTTGATGGTCTGTATTAATTATGATTATAATGATAAGAACATTTTAACTGTAACAAGAGTTATACTTTCATTTGAAAACAGTAGGTATTAGATTAACAAAACTATTGCTAATAATATAAAATAGATATTCAGAAAATTAGTATTTAGTTAATATTTAAACATTTATGGCATGAAAAAATCTTGTCAACTGAATAGCAACAAGATAATTGTCAAACCAACCTAGTTTTTTTAAATTTGATCAGGATTTTTCTTTCAGTGCATATTTAATATGTATTAAAAAATCTGTAATTGAATACCTCGCCTTCATGATTACATTAAATATACCTTATTTTATAATGAAATCTTTGGTTAAAATTTAGATTTATTGTATTGCACGAAATATATATTTTTTATTTTTTATAGGTTCATTGAAACGATCTTATCGGCTTAAAATTAAAATAAATTACATTTCTGGAGGCAAAATTTTCGGGATTTAATGTGAATAGGTTCATAATATAAATATAATATAATACTTAAAATAAATCTACACAATATTTAAAAAATGTGATTTTATACAGTAAAATTCATAATATACTAAGCCTGATTAAAAATGTTTTTGAACTTAAAATTAAATTAAAATCGTGTGCCAGTAAATTTATAATATTTATAAAAACAACTTATAACAACTACTAACGTAGAAAAAAATTATTAGTTATAAATAAATATTTATTACGTAGTTACGTAGTTAGATTAGTGACAGTATTACCAATTACTGCTCTAGGAGGCGAGATTTTTTAGTTTGCTTTAAAAGTGAAAAAAATCTCAGAATAAAATGTTGTCTTAAATAAGACAAATCAATAAAAACTATATATTGACAAAATGTTTGATTCACTATGTGAAAAAACTACACAGGGCCAGCCATATAATTTGTAAGAACAACAACAAGGCCATTTACAAGTTTTATACAAATATTCATTAAAAAATCGGTAAAAATTTTTAGTTTTAAACTTCAAATTAAGTAATTAAGGGGGAGGCCACTTTCTTAAAACAATATCCATTTTGATTTCATATGTATGAGCACCAAATATTACAAAACTTATTTCATTGTTAAAACCATATATTTTCATCTATGAGGTCATCAAAAGCACATATTTCAGCTATAACGAGAAGAGATTGATGCATAAAACTGAAAAATTATGTGTTCGGTGTGCAAATATCAAAAAAATTATTAAATAGTATGAAAAAGTTTTAGTTTATAAAAGTGAATACATTCATTTT